TATATTTTAAAGGGCGTCAATAAGAGATTAAAAGGCCATCCGCGAGTCACTCGAACAGCTCCTATTATAGCTTGGCACAGTTTTTTTCGACCCCTATTTTTTGATGCCATCTGATAGAGCATGGTCGAATTAGAGGAATCGCACTAATTTGGGATTTTTAAATTATCCTTTTCCTGGTTAAACATGGCGTTAAAGTTGCCAACGTCGAAAATTTATCTCGACGTCTACTTGACAGAATTGCCTGAAAATTTGTAACTAGGCCTAATTTGGGAAGGGGATCATTTTTCTAATACATCGCGAAGCACGAAAATTAGCAGAACCTGGTTAAATTGCATACCCAAAAAGGTTTTTGCCTAATTTCAAATTAACGGCGAGTCGGCCGCAAGCTGGAATTAGGCTAGAAAGATGCGCAAAATTTTTCTGCATCGATTGATGTATCATTTAGGTGTCGGCCAGGTCGCCGTTTTCTCACAGCGAGCTTTTTGTAGCTGAAAAATGGTCTGAAAATCAGACTAAAAAGGAAAATGTTGCGATTTTCTATGTTTTGACCCACGGGATCACATTTAACGATCACACCAAGCTAAACGCAAAAATTAGCAAAAGAAATTCGACATTTGAAGGGGTACTTGTTTTGGGCGGGAATCGAACCCGGACCCTCCGCCTGGGAGCCCCGTGGCGCAATGAGTAGCGCGTCGGCGTGCCAATCCAGAGCCGCCGCCAGTTCAATCCCAGCTCCCTCTCAGAAGCCGCATTTCTTTTTGCTCTTTTTTGCAATCGACTTGGCATGATTTCTTGAGGCGTTTTGACTACTCCGCTATCTATATACCACAAAATTTTCCATTTTAGTCAGATTTTTAGGCCATTTTTTAGCTACAAAAAGCTCGCTGTGAGAAAACGGCGACCTGGCCGACACCTAAATGATACATCAATCGATGCAGAAAAATTTTGCGCATCTTTCTAGCCTAATTCCAGCTTGCGGCCGACTCGCCGTTAATTTGAAATTAGGCAAAAACCTTTTTGGGTATGCAATTTAACCAGGTTCTGCTAATTTTCGTGCTTCGCGATGTATTAGAAAAATGATCCCCATCCCAAATTAGGCCTAGTTACAAATTTTCAGGCAATTCTGTCAAGTAGACGTCGAGATAAATTTTCGACGTTGGCAACTTTAACGCCATGTTTAACCAGGAAAAGGATAATTTAAAAATCCCAAATTAGTGCGATTCCTCTAATTCGACCATGCTCTATCAGATGGCATCAAAAAATAGGGGTCGAAAAAACTGTGCCAAGCCTTGTTCGCGTCTCTCGCAAACGGCCTTTTAAGAATCAATAAGTATTTGATTTTGCCAGTTATTTTCTTGTACGGTAATTCGAAATTTATTTATGAAATTTATGGTTATGCTGTCTGCAGCTGCTGATTTAACGATTTTGGGTATGCTCTATTGCCAAACTTTAACGGTTCGGCTTCAGCTTTAGACACAATATCTTAATATTTTGGATGGGGTTTTGAAAATTTCATTGTTTCACCCGAAATTGGACCTTTACGATATTTTCAAAAGGCAATCGCTTTGACTCTGACGCTGCCCTCTCTCTCTCCCCCTTTCTCTCTCTCTCTCTCTCTCTCTCTCTCTCTCTCTCTCTATCTCTCTTTCTCTCTCTCCCTCTCCCTCTCTCGCCTCTCTCTCGGACCTTCTCCCTCTCTCTCTCTCTCTCTCTCTCTCCTCTCTTTCGATAACTTTTCATATTTAGAAAAAGACAATGCCTGACTGTTCAAAGAATCTCTCGGAATCCTTCGCCGTCCATCAGCCCCCACTGCAAGAATTGGGAGAAGCCATTCGCGAGGGTCTCGTCGAGAACTTCAAGGAGGTCGCCGTCAATGTTGTCCCGTGTCCTGGTAGGGCATTTTCTGGCACTTTCTGGACGTAAAATTTACACTTTGCGTTATCGTTAAATTTTATTAAATGGGATTCAATGAATAAGGAATATTTTATAGTTGTTGCATTTAATAATAAAACTAATTTTTGAAATTTTTATAAATTCTGCACCAAATAAGCTGCGTATTGCGGATGGCTCGGAATTTTATACCATAATGTGCGATGAAACATAATTTTTTAACTGCTGTACTAAAAATGCTAGTGTTCGTTTAAAATATACAATTAGAATGTTTTAGATAGCAGAAAATTAATTTATGTACTTTAGACCTCCAACAGCCCGAATTCGGGTTGACCGGAAAATATTTCGGAGCCGAGCTGAGGATCGCTGACATTGGCGGACCTGGCAATCTGTTCCCCGAATTGAGGAAGGACAAGGAGTTCGATTTAAAGGTAATCTTGAAGAATAGTTCTAATTGTTCAAACGAGTGAATTACTTGCAAGATTCAATATGTTCTGATGAAATAAATTTTGGTTTAGAAAATCTATTTTTAATTCATATCCGATTCTTTAATAATTCGCGTCTTCAAATTTAAAGGTATTTTAGAAAATTCGATGACAATGTCAGATTCTAAAAATTATCGTTCTCGAGGGATTATCAAGGCAGCAATGAAGTTTTAGAATTTTTAATAAAGAAATAAGGTGTTTCATCCTTGCTGATCTTAAAAATTGGGAGCAAGTGGTCAATTTATCAGTTCTTTGAGGTGTTGGACATGCCCTAAAAATTTTGCATTTTTGTAGTGACTAACTGTAAAGTGTTTTTACTCAGGCTGGCGTTTTAGGATGGGACCAAGCCTATTTATGTTCAGAATTTTTTGCTGATTCCAAATCCGTTTTCCAAATTTGCTGCGGACTTCGCGTAGAAAAGTCCATTTTGGGTCTAAATTAAGCTTAAAAATGGCATAAATTCCGATTCTGGCCCACTATTACCTCCTCCGGCCCAGGACTTGTTGTGCCCCTTATCTACCTTCCCGAAGCCCCCTTCCCAGTTGGCACCATGATGAATTGGCAAGCTGTTCGCTTGCCAAGCACAGGGCGGCGGTTCGAACCCCGCCGTGCACAATTTGTTTTGCTTTTTGCACAAAAACAAATGATTTTTTGCGTAAAATCGCGCTTTGACCTCTAAAACTGTCACCGAGCCAGTTTTAACGTCGGAGTTGACGACAACTCAAAAAATAACGCAAAAAATCCAGATTTAGTCAATTTTTTTTAGTATAAATGTCGAATCACTTTTTAAATAAAGGTCGGCAGCTAATTTGGAAAGCAGATTCGGAATCAGCGAAAAATTCTGCACAAGATAGGCTTGGTCCCATTCTAAAAAGCCAGCCTGAGTAAAAACACTTTACAGTAAGAAGGCATAGTTATGGATTTTTGTTTACTGGCTACGGATTCTCTACGGACTTTCCCGGGCCGCGACCCGCGACGCGCAGTTTCCATTGTCTTTCCCTGGCCTAATGGATTAAGATTTCTTTCCGATGGGCAGGCGGTTGCGTAGCGTATCGCGGGTGCGACAAAATTCATGAGGAGGTTGTAGGCAATAAAATATAGCTACAGCTACCAAAATGTCATTTTTACGACGTTATCGAGAGTCTATTACGGCTAATAATCCAGCAAAATCTACGTGAAAATTTGAAACATCGGAAATTCGAATATTGCCCAATAGTGCCAGATCTGGTGTTTCTAGAAAGTTGAAACATTAAAAAGCAGCACCTTCGGGGAGCTCTGCAACTTTAAGGTCACTAAATCGCATAAATGTTCGCAATAAATAGCGTATTAGACGTTCCATAAACTAACTTTCCTTCCAGTGTCTATTTTTCTGATTTGAATACGGTCAGGCTTTAGGTCCTAAACATTTTTATTAAAAACAATAAATTATTAGCGGGCTCCGCCCGCTAACCCAGATTTTTTATTTATATACGAGTAAAACCCAGCGGAATCTATGTAAAAACCTGAAACATCGAAAAATCTCGAAAAGTAAAAAGTCAAAGACAACGTCTTGGAAAGCTCATTTTTCTACATCCTTGCCCGGAATCTTTGATAATGTATAGACAACCAAATCTACCAAAATCCACGTTGTATAGTGAAATCAAACCGTTAATAAGTGAACTCATTGTACCCGCCTATTAAGCACAAATATCTGGCTGACGAATTTTGAAAAACGTGAAACAAAGACACCTCTCATCCGAGCCACGCCTTTTCCCAATAAATAAGATTGTAGAAATTTCATAAGCCAACGTTTTTCGGAATCAATTTTTTAAATATAAAGATAGGAAGTGCCAAACTGTTTTCTGGTGTTCTTAAATCTCAAAAAACTACACAATTGTTTAGTAAGAAATACAGAGCTAAAGTTTTCGATTAAAAATGAGCAATTTTCAGATAAAAATTACAAATTTTTGAATTTTTAAGTATATTTTTTACAAAAGCAATAAAAGGTTTAATATTACGCTATTCTGCATCTGGACAGGCATTTCTGGGCTGTGGGAAAAAAAATTAGGTTTCGCCCCTGATAATGGAAAAGACCGAGGGCCCGATTGCAATCGGAGTCCAATCGTTTGTGTTCAAATATTAGGTTGAACCGAAAGTAATTGTAATCGATCTTCGGGACAAGATTTATAATACTTCTACCAAGTAGCTGACTGACTTTTAATTTCCTTTGTTTGGTCTAGCAAGGTACTACATACCCTAGAAATATCAAGCGGATCCTAGCCCTAACACTCTTTTTATAACTGATTTTGCCCGCGGCACAGGGTCACCCGAGGCGCCGACATCCGGGATCCCGCTTTGTTTTCAGCCTTATAAAAATTACCGATGCCGTAATCCCACTATCGTAACTGGCAATGTATAATGCCAGTGTAATATCTTTCTAGCTATGGTGTCCAATTTAGCAAACGGATTTACATTCGGCCGATATTCTCCTTTGTTTGGATAAAAATCCGACTTTTCGGTGAGCTTGACTAAAAGGCTCTCTTAAATTTATTGAGGATAATGAAATTAAATCTGATCCATTTATTATAAGCAGTTTTCATTGGCAAACATACTACCGATTCCTGCTATCTTCCCACCCTTCTTTATCCGTACAAATTTTGCCAATTAGTGAGGCACCAAGTGACCGAACCGGAGATCGGCTGGCCACCCACAATTTGCATTGCTACTCTTTCACCTTTGCCAATCACAATGTTTCTATAGTGCAGTATTATTGGTCATCCACAGTAGATACTGTGTTACAATTACCAATATTTTAAACCCATTCTTTCGCGGAGAAAAAAATAAAACCAAAATGTGCTCAAAATTACGATTCATTTCTCAATTCCAGATGGAGACAGAACATTTGTTCTTAGGTTATATACGAACATAAAACAGCTTTAATTAAGCTTCATTTTGATAGAGTCCACTCAAAAAGTTATCCACTAAACTCGGAGAAAACGGCCGACAAAGGAATATGTTGATTCGCAGCCCAAAAACCCAGATTGACATCTTTTTAAATTGACCTGGGAAAAAATAATGCAGCTAGCTATTAAAATTCTCTTTAGTGCACCGCATAGCCCAAATTTTTCTCTATCTACTATCACTTATTCAAGTCACTAGGGTCGGAACGGCCGGCGATATCCTTCACGGAAATCAAAAACCCGAAATCCGGATTGCGAGCACCCTTTTCCAGCTAATTAAAAAATTTGTGGCAGTCCCGAGTTAAAAATAAAACTGAAACTGGACAAGGCTTAACCCTCAATCATAGCAAAAAATTAGAATGAACGAATGGTGGCTTCCGTAAAATTTTTACAATCGAAAAATTACAATTACTTTCGGTTCAACCTAATAGCTTCAATGATACTTTAAAGGGATGGTGCCACTAATCCCCCTGGAAAATCTTATTTTCAGGAGATCTGCCAGACGTGCGACGCGAAAAATGGGTCAGCTTTTGGTCCGGGAGCCGGGCCTTGGCCTACTGTAGGCACCTGCTGCGAAATGGTGGCCGATATCGATTGCGCCAAGAATAAGGTATTTTCGAAAAATCTGCTATTTTATGTAGAAAAATTGTGTTTCGATTTAATTACTCATAAAGGAATGTATCCCTCCCGGAATCCACTCCCATTCTCTGCTTCCCACTTTCGCATAGTTAAAGTATCTGGGTGACTTTCAATATATACCATACCTTAAAAAAACATGAAAATCAAGCTGAAAAAGCATTGTTTATTTTATGTTGTTTGATGTTGTTTTATGCGAAGAATAAGGTCTGTTCCCACAGCTGGTGCTTTTTAGCAAAAGCATGTTTTATAGACAGGCATGACTTTCACAAATTAAATTATCTAGCTGAAGTTTGGTCCTATAAGATAACTTAAAAAAATAAAGCAACCTAATTAAACATTCTTTATTTTTTATGATGTTTTTCATACATTCAAAACATTTTTAATTGCATTTGTGAAAACCATAGCAATCAAGGTGGTTTGTTTTTTTTTAGAAAAACGTGTTTTATTTCTAGTCCTCGAAAAAGGATCTCTGGGCCCAGTAATGCCTTCTTCCAATAGGCACAATGAATTTATCGATTTCTGCTGTCGGCATTACGGCTGTCGGCATTTAGCCTGTCGGAGTTTTTAGCTGTCGGGATTTCGGCTGGATTTCGAAAAGCAGCGTGCCCCTTATTTTGGAAAAAGAATGATTCAGGGAACACTCATGTAAAAATTTTGTTTGCAGCAATATTTGGTTCCAAACAGTTACTTCGCGATTTATGAAATCTTCTCTGCCCCCATTCACCTAATTACAGTAAAATTAGCAAAATGTTTTTCCTGTAAACCTAAGCGATTCGATTGTTTACGAATTGCGTGATTCAGTTTTATGTAGGGATTCTGGTAATAATTTGCTTTTAAAAAAACGCCAAAAGCAGGGAAAACGACAAAATCTGGGCGTCATATTTTTGGAAAGCCTGGGTCTCAGCAGCCATAATCCCGACAGTCCAAAATACCGACAGCCATATTCCAGACAGGTATAATCCCCGAGAGCAAATATACCCACATCCAAAATCCCGACGCTAAAAATAGCTATTGAACAGCAATATTCAAACTTGCGTCAAAAATATGTAGGGATTTTGCCCTGTCTGTATTTGGCGACGGGATTGGGGCTGTCCAGATTTTGGCTGTCTGGACGGTTTAATTCTGGAATAAAGGTCGGCAGCGAAATCAATTAGGCGGCTAATTGCTTAGGAAAAATATGTGTTTTATTTATATTCCTGATAAAAGCATGCCCGAGTCTAGGAATCCTTCGCATAGTTTGAGTTTGGCAGAATTTATTACCGAAAATTGATTAGTATTAATCAAATTTGAATGCTGCGATTTGTACAAAAAAAAACGGTGGACTCCCATCTTCACATAATAAAGATATTTCAAAATAAAATCTAATAAAAAATCAGCGTGAGGGCATTCTGCTGGTAATTGAAAATATAACGTTAGATCAGGAAAATGCGCGCAAAAAATGTTTCATAAATTCAATAAAAATAGATACTTTAACAAGGTGCAATATTTCCATCACTGGCTTTATGTGAATATGTGTGAAATAATCTTTTATGGTGAATAGAGGAATCTAAAACTGAAGATTTCAAGGTTAATTGAAAATAAAATATCTTAGTTATCGGTTCCTTGTAGGTGAACACGAAGATTGCGAAAATCGTGGAGACGGAGAAGGGCTATGAGCAGAGTACGGTAGATACCCCAAAATTCAACCTGATGGCCAATCTGGCCATTTCCGAGGATTCTGAGAAACAGGTCGATGTCGGTACGTTTTTTTAGAGTTTTTTGGTATCCAAGTTATTAATAGTATCGCGGGGGCACGCTATTATACTGTTAATTTCCCTCATAATTTTAAGTTTTCATGAAACATTTTTCTTTGCGATTTGCGCTATTAGATAATATAGTGATTTTGAAAGTGTAACCGACCGCGAAACCTAAAGTTTTCATAGTTCATAGTCCTTTGAATTTTTATTACCTTAAAATCACGGCAAATGGTGTTGTTTGAATAGCATGTTGCATGCGCCAACAATTTGGTGGGTTTTTCATGCAAAAAAACAGTAATACGAAAATATGGAAATAAAAATAAATCATTGAACCAAAGATGTGATATTCTGGCGGTAAATTTTTCAAGCCTTTTTAGCATTTTCTGAAACATAAATTTTTTACAAAGCGAGCTTTTTAACTGATGTTTTAAATCATCTTCACTATGAAATTTGCAACAGTTGCTCAATTCGCCAATTCGCCAATTCGCTGCACAATTAAAAAAATAAATTTTCAGAACGATTTTGCTTTTCGAAAAAATCGGAATAATTGGTAATTGTGAATTAAGCGTGTATGCGCTCCGCATTTTGTCTTCATTTAAATCAATTAAAATTGATTTCTATCCAAGTCAATGCGTCGGCGAAATAAAATTTCTCAGTTTGCGACAGAAATTAATTTATTTATTTTTCTAGGTTACCTCACAAAATTTGAAACATCCATTCGCTCGGCGTCTTTATGCTCTGCGTTCGATTTAAATTTATCGAAAATCGAACTTTTATTTGGTTTTCAAAGGGAAATCATGCCTGGCCAAAAATGGGATTCACGCCGAAATTCGTCGCTCACTACTGTTTTTGTTTACCCCGGTAGCTCATAAAAAATTTGAAATATCGATATGCTAAGCGCTTTTAATTCTATATTGTACCCTCCCCGGTTCAGCTCCCATCTCCCAGTTTAGCCTCCCTTGATTTCTGGCCAAGCGAGGGTAAGGAATAAAAATAATTTACGCGCTTGAGCTACTTAAATTAGCGTGTCGAATTTTTGCGAATTTTTATGTCTTACCGAAACATATTTTTTAAAGCTTGTGTTTTTATGAGTAAGGTGCTCTCGAAGATTTTCGATGGTTGCTAAATTGGAAGATTTTGGATTTTGGGGCTGGGAGCTGGGAGCAGCACTGATGCGCATCGCGTTTGCGTTCAGTTGGGAATTAAAGGGTTTTCATATCGTTCAACTTTATATCTATTTATTTTTGAAATTGTTTTTTGGAATTATTAAATTCTTCATTTTTTTAATCACAAATACTTTTCTGGAAACATATAATTGTATGAAAATATTTTATTAGCTTTAAAGATTGCTTTGTATGGGATTTTGCCTACGTTTCAATTAAAAATTTAGACTGGAAGGTTCTATATCCTAGAGGGGAAAAATATTTAGAAAATGAAAGCTACTTGGGACTATTGTTATTTTCTTACCACTAACGTCTCAACTACACGAAACATCTTTTTATTTCAGTTCACGTGACGGTGAAAGGGCGGACCGGAAAGTTGAATTTCACGGATGCCATCCGAAAAGCTGTTGCCGATTGCTATGCCAAGAGACCGGTAGGATAATTTTCGATTTTAAAGAGACTAGTAAGTTCGAGAATTGACCCCTACAAGCGGCTAGGTGTGGACACGTACATGGACGGCTTGAAAACGCTTACAAAATTCTAAAGAATTTTTAGAATCACTTAAAAATGCGTTTTTTGGAGTGATGCGTAACCGTCGACACCTAGCCGTGGGAAGGGGTCGATTCATAAACTTCCTAGCTACTTGAAAGGTACGGATGAGGCATGAATATGAAGAATTTTCTGGCAGTGCATTTATAAAATTATGTCCTGGACGCGACCCGCAACGCGTTACCTACAGTTCCATTGGGTGATGGATTAGCCAAGCGCGCGCGTCCCGTGTCGCCCGCGGACCAAAATCCATTGGAAGCCGTGTGCCTTTAATTGTAAGGTCTATGGGAAAGGAAGCGTCGTAGATAGGCAATAGTAGATTGACTTGTTAGCAAATGCTCACGCTTGAAGGTGAAACATTCAATCCTTGATTATGTAGCAGTTGCAACACGCAACGCGCACGCTGCGTGGCCGTCGTTTAAAGTTCATAATCGATTATGCAATGGACTGGCGAAGGGCTGGGCGCGTTGCGTGTCGCGGCCGCAGCAAAACCATAAGACTTCAAAGCCAAAATCGAATACTGACCCTGCCAAGCCCTCGAAATCTCCTTTATAGTTATACCAGTAGAAAAAGACCGCTTCGCGGCCCTTTTCCATTGGACACCGTCTATGAACCATAAATTCCCTTTCCCTTTGCAAGCCTGCGGCGCAGGAGCCTGACTCAGACTCATTCCTTTGGCCTGCGGTGCCAGAGCCAGCGTTGCGCTGGAATCCTTGAGCCTGCGGCGCGAGCTACTGCTTTTTCTCCCGGATTGAGCGTGTTTCAAGGACCTTTTCTTTGGCCTGCGGCGCTAGAGCCTGGGTAAAGGAGTAAAGGAGAGATTGAGTTATGGCCTGGACACCACCGCCCGTGACGCGATTTATTAAGGACCTTCCAGCAAAATCCTTATAAAAATCTTATTTTAAAAATTTTTGCAAAATCCGAAAAAATGTATCTGGGGAAATACTTTTCCCATCTACCCTCCAAAAATAAGGCCCCAATTCCCTCTAGACGCTGAGAAAACTTCCGGACAACGCGGCAAAAACCCATTTTGTTAAGGTTTTTTCACCTTTTCTGCTTATAAAATTGTTAAATGAAGGAATTTCGCCAAACAAACAAATGCGCCACTGACAAATGTGTTTCTCTACCTTCATGCCAAAAATCAGCCGGAAACTCGGCCTGACGCCCGAGAAATCGGCTGTACAGAAAACAGACATACTTTTCTCGCTCATAGGATAGGAATACATCTCGCGGGAGTAAATTAGTTCGTTAAAAAATTTATAAAGCCAATCTAAGGTGATGTGCAGCAGCCGCAGCACGCAGCGACGCCTAAAATTCATAATAGATTACGCAAGAGAATGGCGACAGGATGAGTGCGTTGCGTGTCGCGGCCCTGGCGAAAAAAAGATGATAGGCCGTAGCAAAAATCAATGTCTTGCCATGTCCATATTTTTTAAAACCAAAACATTTGAACCATAGTGCGGTGGTGACAGTGTAATAATTTTCAGCAAGTTTCCGGCGGCAAAATTCCTGGCGATCCTTAGCCAGAATCTATTATTTTGCCATGTGGTCGTCTTGTTAGTAAAATAACTTTTCAGCAAGTTTTACCATAAAAATACGAAACATTCAATTTTGACTTTTTTCAATTTCAGTTCCATGGCAGTCCATCTTCAAAATCGATGACCTGGCCTACACATCCCTTGAAAACTTACAATTTTCGAATCCGAAATGCTGCCTCGCAATAAACAATAATTGTGAGGAAATTTATATCCCTCAAAAGCGATACATACAATTTTTGAATCGATAGCAGCCACGACACGCAACGAACACGCTGCTTTGATGCCGCTTAAAATTTGTAATCCATTACGAAGTGTAAGGGCCAAAGGAAACGTGCGTGCGTGTCGCGGGTGCGGCAAAAAACGATAATCCAAAGCCGAAATCGAATGCCTGACCAGAACCCTATTTCTAGAATCCAAAGTAGTGGAATTCCATGGACAATACCATTAAAACGAGTCTCAGCAGGTTTTTACCGTCAAATCATGATACATTCCGATTATAATATTAATTTTTAATTTTAACAGGCGTAGATACATCAACTATCTCTCTGCAGCCGCGACACGCAACGCACGCTGCGCGTCCCCTACGTTGTAATTGATTACGCAATTGAACGGCCAATGAGAGCTTGCGTCGCGTGTCGCGGCGGGATAAAATGCATAGGAATCCATAGTCTTCTCGACCGAACAGTAAGACAATTTTTCAAAAAGTTTTAGCGTCCTAATACGAAACATTCAATTTTGTGCTTATTTTGGGTTTTCAATTCCATAGCAAACCATATTCATAATCAATGATCTGGCCTTGCCCACCCCTTGAAAAATCACAATTTTCGAATCCAAAATGGTATCGCAACAGTAAAATAATTGTGCAGGAAATTTGTATCCCTCAAAAGCGATACATACAATTTTTGAATGCGTCGCAGCCGCAAGAGCGGCCGAGGATTTCGTGTGAAAAAAACCATATAGAAAATCGATCACCTTACCTTGCGAATCCCCTGAAAATCTACAGTTTTTAATGAATCTAATCCTACCGCAACGTTAAAGCAATTTTTTTCGGAAAATTTAACAAAACATGATACATTCATTTTTCGAAAATGTCAACGGACGTAAATTCAAGGTTGTCAATACGGGTCGTGCCACGGGGCAAAATCGATGGGAACCCATAAGCAACAGTCGATCGCCCTTACTTGCCCATCCCTTGAAAATCCACAATTTTTCAATGCATCAAGATTGATTGCGAAAGTAAAATAATTTTTCTAAAAACTCGTTCCCTCAAAACTGATACATACAATTTTTATCTGAAACCTCATCAAATTCGTAATCGATTCCACAATGAAACGGCCGAGGATTGCGTGTCAAGGAATCCAGATAGTAAAGCTACCACCTTGCCTTACGAATCCCCTGAAAACCCAGAATTTTTAATCGATACCTTTCGCTGCAAAAGTGAAGTAATTTTTTCGAAAAATTTTATACCTCAATAATGATACATTCATTTTTTCAATCAATGTAAAACGGTGTAAATACAAGTTTGTAAATACGTGTCACCGACGGGAAAAAATCCATGTCAATCCATTAGCAAACATCGATTGCTCTGCCTCGCTCGTTCCTTGAAAATCGATAATTTTTAATCTATTAACTACCGCGGCCGCATTAAAGTAATTGTTCCGAAATTCATAGCATCACGAATGATACATTTATTTTTTGAATAAGAAAACATGCGTAAATACAAGGCTGTCAATACGGCTCGTGGAGGGGGCAAAATGCATACGAACCCATAAGCAAAAGTTTCCTTCCCACCTTTCCTTGCCCATCCCCTAAAAATCCACAATTTTTGAATGCAACAGTATTCGTCGGGATAGTAAACTAATTTTTCGAAAAAGACCTTCCCTCAAAACTGACACATTCATTTTTATCTCAAATCTCATCAAATTGGTAATCGATTACGCAATCGAACGGCGAGGATTACGCAAGGATTGCGTGCGAAAAAAAATCCGTATTTAAAATCGACGACCTCGCCTCTCATATCCCTTGAAAACCCACAATATTTTATCAATCAACATCCGCCGCAGCAATAAAATAATTTTTCGGAAAATTTACACCCCCAAAACATGATACATTCATTTTTGAAAACGGAAACGGCGTAAATAATCGATTTCGATGCCAGTCTCGATTCTTCAATACAGGGTGTTCCGCAAAAAAATCCCCGCGCCCCCCTAGCCGGCCGCAGACGGGTCCGATTTTTACGATTTAGGTATCCATCGAAAGCTCTCGAAAAGGCGAGTCCAGCACGTCTTGCGGATTTGCGAAATGTCGGAATTTTTTGCTCGATTCTCGGCATTTTTCAGGCCAAAAGGACTGACTTTTTTGTTCAAAACGCAATTTAACCGGTTTAAGCGCTGTCCAAGCTGTGTTTTGGCAAGCGGCTTTCAAAAACTGTCGTTGGGTTGTCAGGAAACGCGTAGAAATTCTTAAATTGCGATTTTTGTAAAAAATCCCCTGGTCAGAACAACATCAGAAAATCCGCCCATTTTGCAAAAACATTAGTAATTGATGGAAAAATTTCCAAATTATAAAAATCGAAGAGACGCTCTGGACTCGCCTTTCCGAGAGCTTTCGATAGATACCTAAATCGTAAAAATCGGACACGTCTGCGGCCGGCTAGGGGGCGGGGATTTTTTTTTGGGACACCCTGTATACACAATTTTTGAATTGATCGTATTTGTCGAAACAGTCAAGTAATTTTTCGGAAAATTTGCACCCCCAAAACATGATCAATTCATTTGTTGAAAAAGTAAAAGGCGTAAATACAAGCTTGTCATTGCGTGTCACCAACGGGCAAAAAATGCATAAACCAAAATCGATTCCCAGGTCTTCTTCGTGCCTTTAAATTCCACGACACAACGACACAACAGTAAATTAATTTTTCAGAAAATCTATTCCGGCGAAGATGATACATTCTTTTTCCAGGTATCTCTCGGCGGTGTCTTCATCATTCGAAAGGGAAAAGCCAAGCTTCATGTGATGCCCGATTTCCCGGCTTGCCCATGGAATACCGAAGATGAGGTGGGCTAGAGAAAATTATGCAACATGACATTTTTTGTAAATCCTGCGGTTAAAAGATTCGACGGACACGCGACGCGCTTCGATTTAACTAAAAATTCAAGATATTTTAAATTAACCCGAAAAATCCACATTTTTATTAAAATCGATGTTTCGTCGAGAAAGCAATATTTTAGTATAGATAATTTTTTTAATTATACTTTCTGTTTCTGTTCCACCCTCAATTTTCTATTTTAATAAAGAGTACCAGTTAGCGGATTTGTTTCACAAACTTAATAAATTTAGTAAATTTAATTTTTTATTTAATAAAGTTTAGATCACGGACAAATGGTTGCGCTACTTTGAAATGTCAGCCCCGCTCGTCTGCTGCACTGTCATGCATTCCAGTGATCCGGGACATCAGCTAAGAATGGTCAGTGTTGCATTAATTTTAATCGGTATCGGACCATAATTCCATATCAACCTGAAAATCCTTTTTCAAAATTTAAATTAAGAAGCGCCCACGCCTTTAGAATTTCGTTCGTGAACTTAAAACGATTTTAAAAGCGGAAAGTCGCGTGAAATTAGGAAATTGAAGCACACCACTGCCGCATTAGTGCGTTCATTTATCAAGGATACTTGCAAAAACTTGCAACATTTTTTTGACAAAACAAGACAAAAGCATAATAATGCTAGTTTTTGTCTGAAACGTCTTTTCTAAGTTCAACTTCTAATTGACTATCTAGTTAATTATACTTTTAAAATTTAAACTTTTTAGGCTATTTTAATACTTATCATATTACAGGAGCACACGCATTGCTTCTCGAGCCACGGCGACGCTGGCCATTATCACTACGATACCACCCCGGATGAGGTAACTCTCAATTTTTTTTATTTTTAAAGGAAGCATGCAAGCGCGAATCGACCCCCCCCCCCCGAGTGGCTAGGTCTCGACACTTACGCGCGGTGAAAAATCCATTAAAAAATGCCTTCCCAGTCCCTCTAAAATCTCCAATTTTCAGGTGGAATACGAGGGCTGGTTCGCGCCCGCCATCAAGGTCTACAGAATTGACAAGATTTGAGAACGAGACGCGGAATATTTTTGCAATAAAATTGTGAATCTAGAGCTAATGTGAAACACATAAAATCCATTTTTTCTTTTTTTTTATGGTGCCATTTGGGCGCTGATAAAAAGATGTTTTATTGAAAGAACTGGTCTGTACTTATCGGCCACGAATACTTGCGAGATAAAAGGTAGAAGCTAAAACACACGCGACGCGCGCGTATCGTCCCCAAATTCTGCTCCAAGCTCCCAGCGGCATCAGAAGTGTTGCAGATTTGCAGGGAGGGAATGCTGATCATTAGTCCGAATTAAAAGTGTGAATAATCCTATGAAATCCAACTAAACTTGGACGATATACGAAACATATCAAATTAATTTTTTTTAATCTTGTGGCCTAGATCATTTGATGAAAACGATGTTTTAACGAAACATCATTTTTGCTGTGAATTATGTGGCGTAGTGCAGGATAGTGACGATGAAAAACAAACGAAAAGGAAAGCCGGCAGAGAAAGGAAAATTGGAGGGTATAGAGGTACGCGGCGCAGACGGAAATCAAGTAACTTTTGTTCTTTGGGCACCTGCAGCTTCTGGTCTATAGATTTACCTCGAATTTGGGACGGTTTGATCAGCGCTAAAAGCTTCCATGCTTTATTTATTCCTAATCGAAATAAATTTAACGGGAAAACTACCTGAAATACAATTCTTCACTGGTCTGCCACAAATTTCTTTAGCGACAAAAAAATACGTTTCATCCAATAAAACCCAATATATTGAGAGTCGACGCACGCGACGCAGACATGACCGCTTCCAGAAGTTCGGCAAATTACAGGAATCGTCTTACTGAAGATCAATAAAACCAAGCCCGAATAGATTTCACTTGCCATTTTCTGAAACACGCAAATACAATTTAGCATTTGTTTGGTTTGAATTCAAAAAAATTTGGTAGGCCGACAAAAAAAGATGTTTCATCGAAAATATAAAACCGTGGTTAATCTTGCCATGCATTGGTTTTTGCCACCAGGGGCGTAGCCAGAAAAAAAATTCGGGGGGCCCCCAAAAAATTTTTCCAAAAAACTCAAAACATTTACGAGAAAATTTTGAAAAAAAGGTTGCTTATTTTTACAAACCAGCCGCTTTTAGCCCATTTCTTAGAACTTTTCCCGATTTCCCATACATTTTGCCAAAATTTACCCGGTGGGCCCAAAAATAAGGCGGCAATTTTCGGCCTCTGCCTACGAAATGTATCGGAATGTATGGGAAATCGGGAAAAGTTCTAAGAAATGGGCTAAATTTCAGAGGCCCATATCTCGGCCATCCAGTGTCCGATTTTGATCATCTGAACATCTATCGATATCTACTCCTCGAGAGCTATCGACTGGTGTTAAAGGTATTGCATGCAAATGACTCTATGCAGAGATGACTTGCAAAAACACTTTTTGGTGATTTTGTGAAAAACTTGTTGGGCTTGTATCTCGGTCCTCCTTGATTTTGGCAGCCTAGGACCCACCACCCAAAACGGTTCATGCCGAGAGCTACAAAATGACATATCACATGTCTAGAATGGAGCTATCTATGATTTTAGCCAGCCTCCCAAAATCTCGGCGACAGGACTTACCTACCTACTACTTCTTACCTTCCAACCTGATAGATAGCCGTAAAAACGTGAAAAAATAGCGCCGCAGGCCGCAAAATTTTTGAGAAAATAAAAATCATAAGAGTCCCCCCTTATGAAATTTTCGGGCCCCGGCCGATTTCGGGGCCCGGGCCCCCGGGGCCGGTATTACGCTACGTCCCTGTCTGCCACTACGGAAAAATTCGGGCCTGAGAGATAAAAATTCGAACCAATATATATATAATTAAAATATAAATAAAAAATAAATATATAGAAAATATAAAAAAAGATAAATATATACAAAATATAATAGAAAATATAATATGAAATAAATATAAAATCCTACCTTATATAATTTGGTCGCGTATCTTTGTGTGTGTGTGTGTCCGGCGCCAGGCTGCTACTTTGCATAATTCCAAAAAATACAAATTTCCTCATTCTTGCAAGTTGCACGCGCGGGTGTGGCCGGGTGAAGGGACGGGTCCGAAGGACCCAAGCTATCGGAAAGTCAAATTTCTGGGCAAGGCCGCATTCCAGCGCCTAAGGCCCGCGAAGCGGGTTTTGGGCGCTGGTTATAAATAAATAAATATTAAACATAAAAAAAATTCGGACCTGAGAAGGATAGTGGTATGGGCAGGGCAATGGAACAAAAAAGCCGCGCCGCATACGCATCGCATGGAAATTCTTTACAAGCGGCGCCCAACAACATGAAAAGTTTCGGGAATTCGCCGGGAGTCTAGAAGTCTTGAGCAGCAATCAAATAGTTACGAGGCAAGAATTAAATCAAAACAAATTGAACCCAGCGTGGACATTCTACGAAACACATAAAAACATTTTTTGTATTCCAAGAAGCGTAGAGTCGCGAAAATGATGTTTTATCGAAAAAGCTAAATTGTTTCGGATATTGTGGTATAGTAGGAGATTGAAGGCGTATAGAAAAATACGGAGTGAGCCGAAGGCTGTAAACGAAATTAAGGGGATGTCGTCGCCCCCACGCAAATCCGGACGCACGCAGCTTCTGTTCTATCGGTTCCCAGCAGCTGCTGGCCCTTGAATTTACATAGGACTGGTTCCATCTTGAACCGCGTAATATGATATGTCTACTTCATCAGCAAATTAAGCCGAATCAAAATAAATTTTTCGTGAAATTTACGTGAAACACATAAATAGTACCATCCACCATCAGTTTGCCACAAATTTGATTGTCGAAAAAAGATGTTTCATCAAAAGGCATAGAATTTTTGTCAATTTTTTATACTAGTGGTATTAGCTGATGGCTCGGGAAAAGTTGGAGCTCCGAAAAGTTAGTTGGATGGTGAAGAAATCGTAGGCAGTTTAAACACCCGACGTATACGCAACGCAGCCAGGATCTCAGCAGTCAGCTCCCAATCGGTCCATCATCAGCTTTCAGTAACATTTTCCCTAGGACCGTTGAAGCGTAGATCGAAATTCCAAACTAATCTTTTCCGAATTAAATCCCAGCAAATTGTATTTAACATGGACACTGAGCGAAACATGCAAAATCTAATGCTTGTTTCATTTTTGGGCGACCGATGTGAAATTCTCAAAAAAAAGATGTTTTAACGAAAAAGCTAAATTTTTTTCGGGTTTTGTGGTGTAACAGCCAGTTTCTAGCCAATTCACCTCAATGGTCGAGAAAAACGATCCGTGAGTCGGAAACGAATGGGAAATAAGAAGCTATCGCATTGAACGGCCAAGGATTGCGTGCGAAAAAAAACTCTATTTAAAACCGACAACCTTGCCTTACGAATCCCCTGAAAATCCAGAATTTTTTGATGAATCGAATCCTGGGAACATTAAAGTAATTTGTCGGAAAATTCACGCTCCTAAAACATGACACATTCATTTCTTTGAAAACGGAATCAGGCGTAAATAATCGATTTTGATGCCAGGCTCGACCCTTCAATATACGCAATTTTCGAATTGGCTGTATTCTTCGAAACAGTAAAGTAATTTTTCGGAAAAATTATGCTCGCAAAATATGATACATTCATTTTTTGAAAATGTAAACAGGCATAAATACAAGCTTGTCACTGCGTGTCACCAACCAGGAAAAAAAATTCATAAGGGCGTTGCAACGTCACGACAGTAAGTTAACTTTTCAGAAAATCTATTCCGGCGAAGATGATACATTCTTTTTTCAGGTATCTCTCGGCGGTGTCTTCATCATCCGGAAGAGAAACGCCAAGCTGCACGTGACGCCCGTGAATTTTTTTAATCTTTTGACCGAGATCAGTTGGTGAAAGAGATGTTTTAACATCATTTTTGCTGTGAATTTTGTGGTGTAGTGTGAATATATGCGTATCCGAAAAACGAAAAGGAAGCCGGCAGGGAAAGGAAAATGGGGGGATACGGGCGCACCGCAGACGCGGCAAACGCGGCCCTTAGCAGCTTCTGGTCCGTATGTAAATTTACACCAGACTTGGAAAACATTGGTTCTGCGCTATGAACACCTGACCGTACATTAAGCCAAACCCAAATTAATTTAACGTGAAAACTACCTGAAACACGCAATTGCAATACTCCATTAGTCTGCCAGAAATTTCGTTCGTGACAAAAAATTTTTTTATCGAAAAAACTATAAGTGTGGGGAATTTTCAAATTAGTTGCCCGACTACTTTTTCAGAAAAAAATTGAAGCTGGAAAAGGGCAGTTTGTAAAGCTCGAGCCCAGGGAGCCCAGGGAGCCGGCATCCCAAAGAGCTTAGTGAGCTTCCGGAGGTATATTAAAGTATCATTGACATTAATTTTGGGCTATTATACTAGTATTAGTGCATTACTACAAGATTTAATACGAATTACGACTTTTATAACCTTATACTGCAAAACTGTCTTGAGCTCGCTGGGCTCCCTGGGCTCGAGCTTTACTAAATGCCCTGGAAAAGTTAGATGGAGAAGAAATTCAGAGGCAGGCGCCATACGCAACGCGCGACGCCATATCCACGCGACACATACGCAACGCATCCAACCTCTGTGTTCAGCTTCCCGATCAATAGAACGTTGGGAAATTTACCTAGGAACGTGGGTGTAGATTGGCATTCCAACTGACGAAATCTAAATTAAATCCAAACAAATTGAGTTTAACATGGACACTAAGCGAAACATGCAAAATCTAATGCTTGTTTCATTTTTCGGAGCCTGATTTTAAATTCTGAAAAATCATGTTTTACCGAAAAAGCTCAATTGTTTCGAGTTTTGTGGTGTAGTCAGAAGCTTGTAGCTAGTTTACCTCAATGGTCGGAAAATAAAAAACGATCCATGAGTCGGAAAGGAATGGAAAATAAGAGGATGTCGACGCTCACCACGGAGACGTGACGCATGAAAATTAGGTTCTATCGGTTCCCAGCAGCTTCTGGCCCTTGAATTTACACCGAACAGGAGCTATGTTGAACCGCGTTATGATATGTTGGCTACTTGATCGGATAACTAAGCCGAATCTAAATAAGTTTCTCGTGAAAATCACCTGAAACACACAAACTAATTCTCAATACAATCCTCCATTAGTCTCCCCCCAAATTTCGATCGCGACAAAAAAATATGTTTATCGAAAAAATATAAATGTAGTGAATTTTACAAACTAATGCGGATTTGCTAATCGATCGCAAAAAATGGGAGCTGTCAAAAGTTAATGGGATGGAGAAGAAAATCGTAAGCAGTATAAACACACGACGCATACGCAACGCATCCAAACTCTGCGGTAATCTCCCAATCAGTAACATTTTCCCTAGGACCGTGGAAGTGTAGATCAAAATCATGTTCTCAGAATTAAATCCAAAAAATTGAATTCGACATGCGCGCTAAGCGAAACATGCAAAATCCAGACTTTTTATTTTGTGTAACCAAAGTTAAATGCTGAAAATAATGTTTTACCGAAAAAGCTGAATTGTTTCGCATTTTGTGGCGTAGTGGCGATATTCTTGACGTGTTGAAAATAACAGCCGATCCTTACGCCAGAGATCAAAGAAAGACTGGATAATCTCGACGCACGCTGCGCAGACGTGCCGCAAGATACTTTTGTTATATCGACTTCTGGCCGCTTCTGGTCCGTAAATTTACCTCGAACGGAAGAAACCTTAGTATTCATTACGCAAAACAATAAAGACCCGTATTAAATTAATCCGAGTTAACTTGAACCCGACGGTCTACGAAACACGCATAATAAAAAAAATTTGTCTGTACTACTTTGGTGGCGGGGAAAAAGATGTTTTAACGAAAAAGTACGATAGTTATCAATATTGCAATCTAATAGAGATTCATAATTCAATTCATAAATTCATAAAATTGGAGCTAGCAAATGTTAGTCGGATGGCAAGGAAATGGAAAACGGATAGGGACACGAAAAACAAGCAAAGCACACACGACGCATCCAAATTCTCCGAGGCTAGCTCTCAACAGGAAAAGTTTCGGAAGTTAGCGGGGGAGTGGAGAAGTCTTGATCTGATCTTTCAATTTCAAAAAACACACACGCCAACTGAATTCCGGATCGAACGATACGAAACCCATAAAACTATTTGCTTTTTGATTGGTTGCGATCAAGATTGAATGGCGAATGATGATGTTTTACCGAAAAAGCTAAATTAGTTCGGGTTTTGTGGTGCAGTTCGTCAATTTGCAGCACACGCGAGATCGATGTGCAGTAATTGGGGGTTGTCAGCACACGCGAGGCAGACAGCGCAAGCAACTTCCGTTTGTTTGGTTGCCTGGAGCTTCTGGTATATAGATTTACACCGGAGTTGGGCAGTCTGGAACCACCGCAAGAATTAAATCCCAAAAACCTAAAATCGAACCTCAAATGAAACGAAATAAAAATAAAGTTCACCATTTCTCCCACAAGAATTTTTCAGGACAAAAAATATGTTTTATCGAACAAGTGTAATTGTTGCCACTCTTGCAAATTAATTTGACATTGGCTTGACGATTCTTCGCAAAAAGTTGGAGCTGGGAAAGGTTAGTTCGACGGCCTAGAAAATACGAGCACGAAAAACAGGCAACGCATCGACATTCTTTACTGACGCGCCCAACAACAGGAAAAGTTTCCCAAATTCGCCGGGGGTGTCAAGGCTTGAACGGACGTCAAAAAAATTAATGAAGCAGGGATTAAATCAATAAAATATGAATTCAACCGTGGCATGATCCGAAAAACAGAACACCAATTTTGTTTTTCTTACTAGTAGCGAGATTCAATGCTGAAAAATGATGTTTTAACGAAAAAGCTGAATTGTTTCGGGTTTTGTCGGTGCAATGCACAGATCGTGCGTAATTCAAAAATAAAATCGGAGCTATTCGTCGGAAAGAAAAGAAATTACGAGGATTTCGACGCCCGTGTCGCAAAGGTGGCGCCAGCAAGATTTTTGTTCCGTTGGCCTCAGGAGCTTCTCGTCTAAAGATTTGATCAGCGCTGGAAGCTTACATGACCTAATTAAGTAAAATGCATCAACTTTAACCTGAGCAGATCCTGAAACACGCAAATAACCCTATCCTCCATTAGTCAGCCACAAATTTCGTCCGCGACAAAAAATGTTTTATCGCAAAAATACAATTGCTGTCAATCTTGCAAACTAATGTGGCGAGGAAAATTGCCAATTAAAACCATGGACATCGGCATCAAAAGCATCGCAAATTTGCAGGGAACGAAGAAATGTTACTCAGCATTCAAAACTGTAGAAGCACGCATTAAATCAATAAGATATTAATTCAACCTCGACTTGATCCGAAACACAGACACCAGTTTTCTTTCCTGTATTAGTAGCGAGATTCAATGCTGAAAAATGATGTTCAACGAAAAAGCTGAAGGCTCCCCGACACTTGCGCCCGACATTTGCGGCCCGTCCTATTCAGCCCGTTTTTCCCAATATAAAATTAAAAGAGGGTTAACAAGGGTCTAAAGCATTTTCAGGCAAGGCGGGCCGTCGTTTCGGATGGGCTGCCGCTCCACTCTTTCGAAATCGGGGCGCCTGGGCGCTTTCGCGCCCTCGGACGCCCCGATTTAGAAACCCTGTACGAGCTCGCATCCATCCGAAGCGACCAGGCCCCCGGTGGCACGAAGCCTTATTTTTAGGTCAAGACCAGGGGACAAGCGATCAAACCCCGTACAGAAAACTAGCCTTCCGGATGGTTAAAAGCTTGTGCTCGTGTGATTAACTACAGCTTTGGGCGGCAATTGTCGGGGCCGCAAATGTCGGGCGCAAGTGTCGCTGCCGCAAGTGTCGGGCCGCAAATGGTCGGGTCGCAAATTTCGTGGCACTAAGCTGAATTGTTTCGGAGTTTTGCTGTAGTGGGCACCACGTGGATAGGGGGAAAAATAGAAGTAGAACCGAGAGTCGGAAAAAAAGATGTTTTAGGGAAAAAAGTAGTCGATTTCGAATAATGCGCTGTAATGGGTCCTTTCCAGCATGAGTTAAAAACAAACCGAACAGGGAATAATCCGTTGTTTCCTGTTCGGTTTGTTGTTTTCGAATGAGAGGGGGTTTTAGACGCACGCTGCCCAGACGTTACGCACGCAGTCGATGTACTGGAACGTGAGCGTGATCAGAGGTCAAAAATTTACAGATTCGCGATACCTATTATAAATCCTATACTAAGATTGCCTTGATAACGGCTGGATAACGTAAGTTTTGATAGCTTTGTTAAGAGCTTAATAAACGCCTCTAATTTTAAACAAAATGCTCCATTATATTCAAACTTGCCTCTGTCGTGATGCAATCTGAGGAAACATACGTTTTTGGGTATAAGGATTGTTTTTTAGAACGTTGATTTCCGACTATTGTTTTCTTTTATAGAAAAGGTTGAAATCTACAGTTTGAAACACACCTTTTAAAGCATTCATTTTCAAGACGACGGCAAAATTATAAATGAACGTGTAAATGCTCTGCGTTTAATTTAATTCGACCAAAATTTAGAATGAGGTTTCTCAAAACTAATTAACCCCTTTCCCAAAAACAAAATGATCTGCCAGGAAGCTTGGATTTAGTAAATTTTTGAATTTTTAGGGGAGCTCGCAAAGTTTTGGAACATACATTTGTCAAGAGCTTCCAATTTTTCGAAAGACAAAACTGCTAAAATGTAAGTGAAGCCGTCTTTTTTCGCAGTTCAGCTCAATATTGAGGCTTAATTTAGAATTTACATTTTTTACGTTTCAGCGAGTTTAAAAAGTTAAAAAGCTCGTTAAATCAGAATTTCTGAACATGACGTACGCATTAATTTGTCCATTTCGCAAGCATCTTTACAAAAACTTGAAACCTTTTTTGACAAATAAAGACAAAAGTATAAAAATGCTCGTTTTCCTGAAACGTCTATTTTAACTGATAAATTAACTACTCGCAACTCGAAATGAGTCCTTGTCTGCAACGGCAAAATTCGAGCAACAGAACGCCAAAAGATCACGAAGAATGGTACACATAGAGGCCCGTAGCGGAGGCCGAATTTCGGGGGGGGGGGGTCCTAATTTTGAGAACACTGTTCTTATGTAGACTTCCTAACAAAAGTTTCCAAATTTGCATAGGAAAATTGAATCTCAATTTTTGCTGAAATTGGGATGCGTCTAAAATCTCCGCTGGCCAGTCCACAAAAAATCAACCATTTCTAAATTTTGGAGCTCGTCTTTCGGTCTACTCGAGCCTCGAAATGTCTACGACGCCGACGCCGTCGGGCGGAGTGCGCAAATCGCTCTCCAAGTCGAAATCGAAGGGACGCTCCAGGCCTCGCGAGGTACGTCTCTCTCTCTCTCTCTTTCTCTCGCACTCTCTCTCGCTTTCATTAAAATTATCTATCTTTCAGGGCCAAGTCGGCGGGCTGAACGAGTTCCAGCTGAAATTCGGCAAGATGTCCGCCGAGAAGAAGCAGAAGGCCCACCAGGAGCTGATCTCGGCCGCCAAGCTGAACCACGACACAGTCGTCGCCAATATCGTCAAGTACAGAAGCCCCGTCTTCGTCAAGGACAACAAACAGATGAAGGTATAGGCTTGATGGGAACTGGGGGTGGTAATCCGTGCGGCGCAGTAGGAGTTGCCCACCTGGCCCACTGTCCCCCCAGATATGCTGTGCCTCAGATATTAGGCTGGACTTGATCCCACAAGTTTGAGGTTTGTATCAAACCCGAGTTCTTCGAAATGGAGTTCTCGTAAATTTTGGAACGCGGCCTTTCGGGCTGCAACAATATCGAGGTGTTATTAGACACACCGCCGGAAACCATAGAGGACCTCGAATTTTCCATATGTAACTACTTCCTCGAAGTTCATATGTGATATACTCGTACCAGTTAGACGACAGCGGATATTTTGGTGTACTTTCCAATCCCGTAGCATAAAGGGGAAATTCGCTACAAAAGTTAGGCACCGGCTGGCGATAATGCATACTGTTAGCAAGAGTTGCCTACCTGGCCCACGGTCCCAGCATATATGACGTGCTTCAAATCTAAGCCCGGACTTGATCCATCAAGTTTGAGGTTTGTATCAAGCCCGAGTTCTTCCCTATGGAAGTCTCTTAAATTTTGGAAAACAGCTCTTTCTGAGTTGCGACAAACACTAGACATATTTCTCGTTTTTGCGTTGCTTTACGTTCCCCATTTCAGCTGAAAAACACGGCAGCCGAGAAGGACCAGTACGAGTACGTGCCCGGGTCGATCGTTGACCAGCAGATGCGAGACTACGAGTTCATCCAGGCGCCGCTCAACGAGAAGACGGCACTCGATCTGTGGAGGACCGTTTGGCAGGTATCTGGTGCATCACGGGCTAGGCTTGGCTTAAGTTTTGACCTAGCGCGTAGCTGTCGAGACCTAGCCGACGGGAGGAGTCGATTCTGGTTTATGCCAGTCCCTTTAAAACCCACTTTTCCAGGACCAGACGCGTCTGGTGTGCTCTGTATCGCAGGAGAATCTGATCGGCGAGGAGGCGTCGAGCAAATGCTGGCCATATTGGCCACGCAGCGAGGACAAGAGCATCTCCTATGATGTGAGTGTCGGTTTTATATGCTTTGAGCATATAATAACTACTTGCTCCCCCGTTAACAGACCAATACATCGTTTTTTTTTGAGAACGGCCGCTTCGTGGTGAAGTGCAAGAAGAAGGGCGGCGACCGGAAGAAGGGGTTCACCATCTACGAGTTGACCGTCGTTGGACCGCCCGATGAGGATAAGGTATCGACGCGTACTGCGCGATTTTACCTCTATTTTTCAGAAAGGCGGCGAGGAGGGCGGTGGCGATACGGAAGAGCGCCCGGTACGGGAATATGACCACGGTGATGCGTTCCTTCCAGGTGACGCTGCTCCACTTCGAGAAATGGCCGCCGGAGAAGTGGATGGATGGGGAGAATGTGTACCATCTCGTCATGGAACTGCACAATCGCACACAGCAGGTGAGAGAGAGAGGGAGAAAGAGAGAGGGAGATAGAGAGCGAGCGAGAGAGAGAGAGAGAGAGAGAGAGAGAGAGAAAGAGAGAGAGAGAGAGAGAGAGAGAGAGAGAGAGAGAGAGAGAGAGAGAGAGGGGAGTGTGTGAGAGAGCGAGAGCAGAAGAAGGAGCAGGAAAGGGAGGGGGGAAAGATAGAGAGAGAGTGAGAGAGAGCGAGAGAGAGAGAGAGAGAGAGAGAGATAGAGGGGGAGTGTGTGAGAGAGCGAGAGCAGAAGAAGGAGCAGGAGAGGGAGGGGGGAAAGATAGAGAGAGAGTGAGAGAGAGAGGGACAGAGATAGAGGGGAAGTGAGAGAGCGAGAGAGTGTGAGTGAGAGAGGAGAGAGAGGGAGAGAGACAGAGAGCGACAGCTAGAGAAAAGATTCTTTCAGATTTGTCGCAAAGTGACGGACGGCTACTTCCCGCCCATCCTCCTCCAGGGCTACGAAGCGCTCGGCAGGTTCGGCATTTTAAAGGAACCGGCAAGGCATGGCGATGAATTTTGGTTATAGATTTGACGGAACTTTCCTGTTAGCGGGAGGAGGTATTATCTTTAGCATGCCGTTCCGTAGGGCATCTTTATGTAGCTGATTCGCCGTTCTGAAGCATTGAACGTACATAACAGCAAAATTTTTCGAAACATTTTTATTTGCGTCAAAAACCTATTTAATCGAAAATTTCTAAAATTAAGACTTTAGAAGAAAATTCAACTTTTTAGCTAAATTTTTTAAAAATGTTTGCTCGGCTGTCTAGGTGCGTATTCCCACCCGCTAATAGCCCAGCTCCCTGTTTTTCCCAATTTGCATAAATTCCTCTGATTTTAGGACGGCGATAATCTGCCTGGGTATGTGCTTGGCCCGTGATTGTGAGACCAAGACAAAATACGATCCGCCCACCACGATGCGCTCCATTGCAAAGTGGGTTAATCGGTTTTTGGTAAGAGTTTACTTTACCCCCCCCCACAGCCGAAGGGTCTCAAAGTTTTCGGTATTTTCGCTTATTTTGTCGGGATTTTCGCAACGCCATTCGATAGAGCGTCGAAAAATATACTAAGAGTTTTAATTTGAGCCTACAATAATGTAAAATAAAAAAGTTATAGCCAAAAACTTCCGGCTGGGGGGGTAAAGTAAACCGTAGCCCGGTTTTTAATTTGTTAAATAAATACTGGATTTCGGATTGTAAATTCTGTGGATTAAACTATTATCAAAGTGCCGCCCCGCTATAGCTAGATGAAACACGCATTTTTTAGCTTTCGATTTTTTGTATAAGTCTAGAAATGCTTAGTAACTTAATTCGAAGTATTTTCATAATGTTTTTCCCAAACAAAATATATTTTAGCTAGAAAAACTATCTCAAAACTTTCAAAGCTTTTCCAAAAACAATCGAAATTTGGTAAGACACCAGATACCCCTCCCCCGATCAGGCCCGTAGGGGGGGGGCGGAGGGGGCATCCCCCCCCCGCCGAAATTTTGGGTCAGCTACGGCCCTGCCCCCGATAATGCGAAAGAAGCCGCTTTCTTGCAGGATGCGCCCGGGTGCGTTCAGCAATCGTCTCCACTGGACGTACGGATGGGCCCTGTGCTACCGTGTCGCCTACCATACCGGCTGGTCAAGTGTAAGGAGGCCGAGTAGTACTTTAAAAGGCCTTTTGCCAGAGACTCGAACAAGGCTTGTCACAGTCTTTTTCGACCCCGTTTTTTTTTGATGCCATGTGAAAGAGCATGGCCGAATTAGTCGTATCTGCCGCCACGCTGAAAAATACATGAAATATTAAGTTAACAGTTTAATCGAAATATCCTTATTTTTAGGACTGGAAAAAGACAGCGGAGGAGATGCAAAAGGGCCTGGATGCGGCGAAGCTGATCCCCGTCGAGCCACGATTCTGAATTCGCGACGATGCCTCCTACCCCCACAGTTAAATATACCTCCACAGTTGCGCCGAGACACTACGCTAAAGTGCTAAAAACGGTCATCTAAAAACATTCAATTCGTTGTCGCCCCCACCATTTAATAAATGATTCGCCCACCCTGCTCGTATGTCACCTCCCTTTAAACGAGTGTAGCCACGCCCCTTTGGCCCGAAGCCCCGCCCCTTTTTATGTGATGTGTGATGCCTTGAGGATACCTGTTTTCTGATCTTTGTGCGTGAATAAATGCTTTTTAAGAAGGTCGTTGAACTCGAAACACAGGATGTCTCACAAAAACACCCCGTCTGGCGGCCCACAGTCGGGTCCGGTTTTTACGATTTACGTATCTATCGAAAGCTCTCGGGCGAGAAAACAAGCAATTTTCGTTTTGCAATATAGCCACCATAATCCACTAAATTTAGGACCTACTCAAAAAAATCAAAAAGGACCCAATTTTTCAGTGTTTCCGATTTTTTAAAGAATTAGTTTTGTTCAAGAAAACCGATTAGTTAGCCCACAAGCGCTACCCAGCGCTAACAATCCGTACTAATTTGCATAATGAAATTTAAACGTGGCTTTTTTCCCTGATATTTACATGCGTTTAGTATTTTTCGTTCACCAGTCCACAGAAAATCAATCATTTCTAAATTCTGAAGCTCGTCTTTCGGCCTACTCGAGCCTCGAAATGTCTACGACGCCGACGCCGTCGGGCGGAGTGCGCAAATCGCTCTCCAAGTCGAAATCGAAGGGACGCTCCAGGCCTCGCGAGGTACGTCTCCCTCTCTCACTCACTCACTCTCTCGCTCTCTCTCGCTCTCTCTAACTCTCTCTCTCTCTCGCTCTCTCACTCGCTCTCCCTCTCTCTCACGCTCTCGCTCTCTCTCGCGCTCTCTCTCTCTCTCTCGCGCTCTCTCTCTCTCTCTGTCTAGGTATCTATCTTTCAGGGCCAAGTCGGCGGGCTGAACGAGTTCCAGCTGAAATTCGGCAAGATGTCCGCCGAGAAGAAGCAGAAGGCCCACCAGGAGCTGATCTCGGCCGCCAAGCTGAACCACGACACAGTCGTCGCCAATATCGCCAAGTACAGAAGCCCCGTCTTCGTCAAGGACAACAAACAGATGAAGGTATCGGCTTGATGGAAACTGGGGGGTGGTAATCCGGGCGGCGCATTAGGAGTTGCCCACCTGGCCCACTGTCCCCCCACGTATGCTATGCCTCAGATACTAGGCTGGACTTGATCCCACAAGTTTGAGGTTTGTATAAACCCGAGTTCTTCGAAACGGAGTTCTCGTAAATTTTGGAAAGCAGCACTTTCTGGGTTGCGACAAACACTGTGACATGTTTCTTATATTTTTGCGCTGCTTTATGTTCCCCTTTTCAGCTGAAAAACACGGCGGCAGAGAAGGACCAGTACGAGTACGTGCCCGGGTCGATCGTCGACCAGCAGATGCGAGACTACGAGTTCATCCAGGCGCCGCTCAACGAGAAGACGGCACTCGATCTGTGGAGGACCGTTTGGCAGGTATCTGGTGCATCACGGGCTAGGCTTGGCTTAAGTTTTGACCTAGCGCGTAGCTGTCGAGACCTAGCCGACGGGAGGAGTCGATTCTGGTTTATACCAGTCCCTTTAAAAGCCACTTTTCCAGGATCAGACGCGTCTCGTGTGCTCTGTATCGCAGGAGAATCTGATCGGCGAGGAGGCGTCGAGCAAATGCTGGCCATATTGGCCTCGCAGCGAGGACAAGACCATCTCTTATGATGTGCGTATCTTGATGTACTTTTAGCATCTAAAAACTATTTGCTCCCCTCCGTTAACAGAAAAGTACCTCGTTTTTTTTCAGAACGGCCGCTTCGTGGTGAAGTGCAAGAAGAAGGGCGGCGACCGGAAGAAGGGGTTCACCATCTACGAGTTGACCGTCGTCGGACCACCCGATGAGGACAAGGTATCGTCGCGTACTACGCGATTTTACCTCTATTTTTCAGAAAGGCGGCGAGGAAGGCGGTGGCGATACGGAAGAGCGCCCGGTACGGGAATATGACCACGAAAATACGTTAATCATACGCAAAAATACGTTTCCTTCCAGGTGACGCTGCTCCACTTCGAGAAGTGGCCGCCGGAGAAGTGGATGGATGGGGAAAATGTGTTCCATCTCGTCATGGAACTGCACAATCGCACACAACAGGTAAAAGAGAGAGAGAGAGGGAGAGAGAGAGCGAGAGAGAGAGAGAGAGAGAGAGAGAGAGAGAGAGAGAGAGAAATAGAGAGGGATAGAGAGAGTAAGCGAGAGCGAGAGAGAGAAAAAGCGAGAGAGCGAGAGAGAGAGAGAGCGAGAGAGAGCGAGAGAGAGTGGGAGAGGGAGAGAGATAGAGATAGAGAGTGAGAGAGGACAGAGAGAGAGAGACAGAGAGTGAGAGAGGACAGAGAGAGAGAGACAGAGAGAGGGAGAGAGAGAGAGAGAGAGAGAGAGAGAGAGAGAGAGAGAGAGAGATAGAGAGAGAGTGAGTAAGCGAGAGTGGGAGAGGGACAGCTAGAAAAAAGATTTTTCCAGATTTGTCGCAAAGTAACGGACGGCTACTTCCCGCCCATCCTCCTCCAGGGCTACGAAGCGCTCGGCAGGTTCAGGATTTTAGAGGGGCCGCAGGAAACAGCTAAATTTTTTTGACGATAGATTTGGCGGAACTTTACTGTTAGCGAGGGGGGCATTATCTTTAACATACCGTTCCGTAGAGCATCTGTATGTAGCTTTATGCGCCGTTCTGAAGCATAGAACGTACATAAAAACTGCCACATTTTTCGAAACATTTTTATTTGCGTCAAAAATATATGTAATAGAAAGTTTCTAAAACTAAGACTTTAGAAGAAAATTCAAATTCAACTTTTTAGCTAAATTTTTTAAAAATGTTTGCCCGGCTGCCTAGGTGCGATATCCCACCCGCTAATAGCCCAGCTTCCTATTTTCCTCAATTTGCATAAATTCCTCTGATTTTAGGACGGCGATAATCTGCCTGGGTATGTGCTTGGCCCGTGATTGTGAGACCAAGACAAAATACGATCCGCCCACCACGATGCGCTCCATTGCAAAGTGGGTTAATCGGTTTTTTAATTTGTAAAATAAGTTCTGGATTGCGAATTGTAAAGTCTGTAAATGCTCTGTGGATTAAACTATTGGGCAATGTCATGGCCCTCCTCTATAACTAGCTGAAACACGCAATTTTTTAGCTTTCGTTTTCTTCTTTTGTTTTCTTCTTTTATTTGGGAAAAAATGATTTTCCTATGGATTTTCCTATGGAACTCCAATCCGAGATCCCGTTCCTTGAACCATTCTGATTCCGGCGCCTTGCCGGCGACAGCGGCTGGTTTTTTTTGAAAAGCAAGCCTACGGATGAACAGTCGCTCTCTGACGCTGTTCTGACATGGATCCAGATCGAAGTCACTTCAGAAGCAGAATTTGGCCCCAAGTTAGGCCCAGGCTACGGTAGAGCCAGAAACAAGTTCGGGGAGTTTTGCGTTTTAAATGCACAATTGAGGCTTGAGATGCATCTGCTTCTGGTCGGAAGGCCTCTGCGGACCACATCCGCTCGGTAACATTGCGAAAGTCGCCGCCGCCGCCGCTAAAAAAACCTCGTCCACAGACGACTTTTTGATCCCACGATTTTTCGCGCTTGGAGCACGAGCTTACTGTGTTTTTTTAAAAAAAGTAATTGCTCAAGCAAGAGCATCACCAGCAACCATCCCCGATGGTTTTAGAGGTGAAAAAATGACGCTGAATCCGGAAATCGCGAAAAAAATGGTACTGCCTACATATTTTTGTGGATCGGCCAAAACCTGATTTTCAGAAAAATAATTTCTTAAAATTTCAGAGGTGGTTTCGTCAAAATCTCATAAGTTTCTCTTAGCTTCACAAACCCCAATTAGTATTGGGTAATTTTGGTAAAAGCGCTATAATGACCTGCGATTTCCCTAGGCAAAAAATTGGGGGTGCCTACAAATTTATGTGGAGCGGTGTATATTTGAAAACTGGTTCGTAAGCAAAAAATCTCTCCCCCCCCGCTAATGCGCAAGAAACAACCAACCAAGGAAGCCGCTTTCTTGCAGGATGCGCCCGGGTGCGTTCAGCAATCGTCTCCACTGGACGTACGGATGGGCCCTGTGCTACCGGATCGCCTACTACACCACCTGGACAAATGTAAGGAGGCCGAGTAGTACTGTAACAGCTTTAATACCGTGATGTTGTTGAATTGAATTGCAATTTCTATCTATCTAACTATATATAAAAAAAATACAGGGTGTCCCAAAAAAAATCACCCCCTACCTAGCGGGCCGGAGTCGTGTCCGATTTCTACGATTTTGGTATCTATCGAGAGCTCTCGACAAGGCGAGTCCAGCACGCCTTTCGAAATTTTGAAATTCCGGATTTTTTCTTACTTTTACTAATATTTTCGCGAAAAGGGCTGCATTTCTGATGCTTTTCGGATAAAAGGGTTTTTTACAAAAATCACAATTTATGGATTTTAACCAGGGTTGGTCATTTTCGGATCGGATTGGATCCGGATCCAGATCCAGGGCGGATCCGATCCGATCCGGATCCAAGGAAATGGATCATGCAACCGATTTAAAGGGCTGGAGAAAGATGGCCAGGCGTCCGTCGGGGTGACGGACCGACGAAACGCTACTATCGACGTAATTCATATTCGGAATTCGACATTTTTATGCAAAGCGCAGTTGGGGAGCAGGCCAACGCTAAAAACTGGGAAAAGGCCCCCTAGGGTATTTGAGGGCTTTTCGCCGCATCGGCTCGGTTGGCGCCATGGTATACTGGTTAGCACGCTGGGCTATAGGGCGAACCATCGCTGGTTCGACTCCCGCCCGCAGCAAAATTCTTTGCTTTTTGGCCAAATACATCTTTCTCGAGCCCTTTAAGTGCTAATTCTTAGATGCAAAGATCATTTCTGCCTCTGGGCTATGCAGTTTTGCGATTAACATGACCGAATCAGCATCAGAATCGAGAATATTCCTTCCGGTCCCTTTTTTCCTCGGATCCTACTGCGGATCCGATCCGGATCCGGATCCTTACCGATCCGGGTCCATCGGTGAACAACCCTGATTTTAACGACTTTTCCGTGAAGCGGCTTTTCAACCCTGCTATTACGATATTAGTCAAAATGGCTTGCCTCTATAAGCTAATGAAACATTGTTCTCGTTTCGTCGTTCGTAGTTAGTACTGAGCAGTTAGCGGGGGAGGAGGATTTGTAGCAAGAATCCCCCCGCTAAGTCCAGATCCGGCATCTCTGGGTCTTTACAAAATAAAAATTAGGTTTCCTGATACCCTACCTCCCCCCGATGATGCAAAAGTGCCTGTTTCATCGAAATATTCTTATTTTTAGGACTGGAAAAACACAGCGGAGGAGATGCGAAAGGGCCTGGATGCGGCGAAGCTGATCCCCGTCGAGCCACGATTCTGAATTCGCGACGATGCCTCCTACCCCCACAGTTAAATATACCTCCACAGTTGCGCCGAGACACTACGCTAAAGTGCTAAAAACGGTCATCTAAAAACATTCAATTCGTTGTCGCCCCCACCATTTAATAAATGATTCGCCCACCCCCTTCGCCTGTCACTCTCCCTTTAAACGAGTGTAGCCCCGCCCCTTTTCCCCCGTGAAGCCCCGCCCCTTTTTATGTGATGTGTGATGCCTTCAGGGTGCCGATTTTCTGATTTCTGTGAGCGAATAAATGCTTTTTAAGAAGGTCGTTGAACTCGAAATATTACTTGACTAATTCATAAATGGAAAGATCCTACTGACTTGCTTTTATAATGTCGAAATTCATATTGTCGATTTTTTTTGCGTAGCATTCGGAGAGTTTTCCGAAAATTCGCTTATGTAAATTTTGACATCATGGATTTCCACATTATGAATTTTGACATTACTATTTTGCACATTATGAATTTCTACGTTTTGACAGGAGCCGGATTGCTATATAATCCAGAACATATTTTATTGCGAAAATCAGAAACATTTAATTCCGTATGGTTTCTAAGCGTCATCGAAGCTCAGAAATGTGAGAAGTGAGAAAATCAGAAAAATGAAAAATGAACCCTAAATTACCCTAAAATCCCGAGTACAATTCCGGTACACTTTGGTGACGTACCAATACAAATGACGGTCTAATTACGTGCGCCCCCGGCCGTTCGCTGCAAAAGCTATGTAAACCAAAGGAAGCGGTTCTTAGGACTTCCGGCATCAATTTCTTTCATTAAACCACTCAAAATGCTGGAAATAGTCCATAGGTGAGCAAATCTTCAACCAAAATGGCAAAATACCTTTCGCGAACGAACTTATTTGCGAGAAACCGAAAAAACGAAACACACCTCTTTACGGTCATACGCAATTACGAACGCTACGTACGTTTCACCCGGAACTATACTCGGGGGGGAACTATACTCGGGATTTTGGGGTAATCGGACACGTTATCTAATTGCTTCGTGCGCTGTTGTAACGATCCAGTAATTTTGGCAAAACATCTTTTTTTTACCGGGTCAAAATGACTAATTTCCGGACTTTAATGTTTTAATACTTTCCGAATAAATGCGTTAAAGAGACTTAGACGTCTGGCTCCCCCCCCCCCCTCAGCGCCTATTCCTGGCAAATAGCCAGATACGACCGCAACGCGAAATACTGTGCTTCCTTTTTGAAAAAAAATGTTTCCAAAGATTGTGGTAAGAAAGACCAAGCACAATAATCAATTTTCCCCAAATTTAGACATTCAGGCGCTTAGTATTAAGAAAATTCGTTTTTGTAAGGCAATTTTAACTTCCAATTTTTACAACAAGAATCGCTTTCAACAATTAAGTAAGCAGAGACCGCGCGAAGGATCTTGGCAATCCTAAGAGCCAACTCTAAAAAAACCGCCTTTTTTAAATAGCGTGTTTCGAAAATGCTAGTTAATAAATCGAAACTGTAATTCGTCAATAAACAGTAATGTGCCGGTGTAAAAATCTTCTCTACGAATTCTGTTTCGATTCTGCCACTTCCGGTTTTGACTTCAAACAAGTATTTTGAAGACAGTTTAGGCTTTTAAATTTTCAAAATTTCAAAATTTCAAATTTCAAAAGGAATCCGAAAAGCGTTCAACCTTATGGAGCATTACGACATCTAATTCAACTTTGCCTAAAATTAGATTTTGGTCAAAAAGTGCACCTCTTGAACACTTTCATGGTCCATTAAATTCGGGATCAAACCACTGGAACATTAAGTTACTAAATTGACAGAACTTTTGAGGCGTTTGCAAAACATATGTTTTTTTAAATTTACAAGACATCGAATCCCGTCTATTTTCTAAAGGGCCGTGGAAGTCGCAATCTATATGCTTTTGATGAGAAAGCCAAAAAAGCCCGAAATTCTAGATTTAGAATGTCATCAAGTACGTGCTCGCCTTGCCTGGTGACCCTTGGAAAAAATTATCTCGTTTTGTGAAACTTCTTATTTTCACCGTGTTATAATTACTTGCATATTAGCCATTTCTTAAGAAAGTCATTAAATAACTAAACCTTTTCTTTAGAAAAATCATGGTTTGAGCGGTTGTATGATTTTTTCACGGATGCTACAAGGTTGGAATGGCAATCTATTTCAGTTAAAATGGATGTTTCACAAAATTCTGTCCATAATGTTGCTAAGAACACTGTATTGGCGCTGGCTCTTTCTTTTGTGATACTTTAAGGTACACAGGGCAAATTCCGTGACCATACCTTTGAGGAGATCTATGGGGCTGTACTCAACTTTTGTTTTCTCTGAAATTTCCACAGTTCAAGTATGAACAAATTCTGCGTTCCGATCGCGGAGGTTAGATTTTTTTGATTTGACTGAATTCATTCTGGGGCCCCCAACAAACATTTAATTAATTAATTGATAATCAGATTAATTTTCTGGTATTGTGGAAAACTTTTCTGG